GGCGAGAGCTAAATACCAGAGATGGCTATCACAGAGATTTAGAGTTCTCTCATCCTGACCTGCTGACCTTTTTACTGAAATTCAACAACAACAGTATTAGCAGGAGGAGTCAAGTTCAGGCCCTAGGCAGAGCTGGCCCGGAACTCAGACTGTTGGCCGCATGCTTAGCCCTAGACAAAGCCAGTTAGCTCTGACTGACTCATGTCCCTCCTGTACGTTTTAGAAGCCACACTCATGAAGAGTGGTGTCACACTAGAATGTGTCCTCCAGGGCGAGGCAAGAGTAGAGACACAGTTTGAGTGCTTGCAGTGACCACCTGTCATTATTTTTACCCAGACCTCAGCCTGCAGGCCTTATTATATATATAGGAAGAAGGAAGAAAAGACGGAAACTGGTGACCACTGGTGGGTAATAGTGGCGATTGATTAGCATATAAAATCATGGAAAGAGGAAGGAAAGACCTCCAACGTTATTAATAAGCAAGACTGAGAGGACCCAGTCAGTAGACTGAAGAAAACCGCGTGTGCCGACAGACCATAAGAAGGGAGAGAGGCTACAGAATTGCAGGCTCTTGATTTCTGTGGTGAGCAGAGCTCAGGCAAGATCTGACCAAGCAGCAGTGGCAAAAGCCCAAGCACCATGCCTAGGCAACCTGGCAGTGGGCCTCTTGCTTTGGAAATGCTACTGTAAAGATAAAAAGTAAATGAGGTGGAGAAGCTGCTTGCACAAAGAGTAAAGCTGGGCTGGTTCTTGTTGCTCTGGGTGTGAACTGTGAACATGAGTGTATTCGGGGCAGCAGGCTTATATGGTACTCAGCTATTGGAGGCTATGTGGCTGGGGGCTGGTAGTATAGGTTCTGTAGGCCAAGAAGGTCTGAACACGGGAGGAGGGTACATGCTGTGCACTGAACTGGGCCTGGGTTCAAACCTAAATCAACCTCCTGGGACCCTTCTTTACAGAGTTATCAGAACTAGCTGAAGCTGTGCAGTGGTGGCACATGCCTTTAATTCCAGCCCCCGGGAGGCAGAGGCAGGAGGATCTCAGTGAGTTCAAGGCCAGCCTGGTCTACAAAGCAAGTTCCAGGATAGCCAGGACTATTGCACAGAGAAACCCTGTTCTAAACAAACAAACAAACAAAACGAAGACCGGCTGGGCTGGGTGTAGTGGTACACAACTCTAATTCCAGCACTCGGTAGACAGAGGCAAGTGCGTCTCTGTGAGTTCAAGATCAACCTGGTCTACATAGTAAGTTCCAAGACAGCCAGTGGTGAATAGAGAGACCCTGTCTCCAGAAAACTAGACTAGCTGGGGTCATGAATCTATGTGACTAAGCAATGCCAGGCTATGTGGAACAATGGTATCTGTGACCACTACCTCAGAGGTGTCACATAGACCCACTAGATCCTGCAGAGAGATAAACAATTAAGATAAGATAGATGGCAAGAAGTCCACTTTCTACTTCATCCTAGTGAGACCCTGAATGAAGAGTTAACCCTCTCTGGGCCTCCATTCTTTCACTCATAAGACAGGGACAGTAATCCCCAGTGCTGTCCTGAGGCTAGGGGTGTCGTCTTGATGCAAAGCCTAGTATGGTGTCAATAAGTTAGCTGCTATCCTTAAGCAGCTCAGCTTAGCCTTCCTATACCTTCCTCCAGCATCCCCCTCCCCTTCTCCCAAACTCCTATTCGTTTCCTTTAGAGAAACAGTATAAATTGGCTTTGTGCTGAGCAAGAGACAAACAAGTCTTGTTTTCTTGAGCCCGTTCTCCCTGCCTGTGCCCATGTGGTCTCAGTCAAGGGCAGCTGGTGACACAAACCTGCTGAGATGGCAGGTCAGTAACTGTTAAGTATGGAGCAGTGGATCCTCTAAGGGTTGTGCCTGAGGTGGATGCTTTCGGGATTAGCTACCTAGAGCTGCAGTGAACCAACACTTGGTGGCTTCAAATGACGGATATACATTGTTCCAGTTTTTGTAGCTCAGCAGTCCTGCCATGGGCCACCTGGGGCATCTGTTCAGGAGGCTGCAGGCCAGAGTGAGCTGGGGATGTAGTTACCCCAAGGCTCTTCTGGAGGTGAGGGCCAACTTTCAAACACATACGGTGATTGGAAGGCTGCAGAAGACACATGTCCAAGATTTTGCATGTAGCTACTATCAGGTTGGCTCCTCTCCATAGGAACCCCTGCTAGGCTGTTTGTGTCTCTCCGTGATATGACAGATAGTGGTGTGTGTGTGTGTGTGTGTGTGTGTGTGTGTGTGTGTAAGAGAAAGACACATTCAGAGGAGAGAGAATGAATGAGAGGGGCCAGAGGAACAAAACACAAGCACAGAGAAGAAATCACAGATTCACAAAGATCTTGGGTGCCCCTTCTCCACCGGCTGTGCTCTGGTCATTATGAACATTTGGTTAGATCAAGGCCACCCTCACAGAGCTGTGCGTGTCTCCCGGGGATCACCTGAAGCAGTGTACAGACTGCCTGCCTCCACAGGGGGGAGTGGGAAGAATAACTTTTTGAGTCTAACTGTTTTCTATACAGTGAAAAGAGCTCTCCTAAGCGACTCTGCAGCCTTCCCCTACCATAACTTAGAGCCCCTGTGTCCTCCATGAAATAAAGACGCAGCCCAGGCCAGCTGGCCTCACTGGCTGCGTATGTATGACTAAAGGCTAAAGTTGACACTTCCCTCAAATGTGATGTGCCAGGTGGGCAAGGATGGGACTGGGATTCCCCTAGGAGAGTCCTGGATGAGAAGGGCAAAACTCAATCATAAAACCGCAAAGAACCCCAAGTAAGGTCCCAACATCATGCTTCCAAATTCACCCTTCTATCGAGACATGGTGGGACGCCCTATGACTACAGTGCTCAGGAGACAGGAGGATCGTAAGTCTGAAGCTGGTGTGGGTTACACAGTGGAAAGAGACTGCCTCAAAACCCAAGAAACCACTGCCAGTAAGGCCTGGACAGGAAGGCATTCATTCATTCACTCATTCATTCATTCATTCCTTAATTTCTCACTCACCTGTTCATATGTTCAAGTCCCATCCGACTTAACAGGAGCACTTCTTTGAGATATGAATTACTCACTCCTCTGTGCAGATGAGGAAACCAAGGCTCAAAGAAATGAAACACCTCTAAGAACCCACACAACCTTCAGGACGGAACCACACCCTGTACCCACAGAGGGCACCTGCTGGCACCCTAGCACTTGCTGCACAGTCTCTCTAGACAATCCAAATTTATGTGATGGCTGCAACATTTGGCCCCTGCCGCACACACCTGCCTGAGCCAACACTCTGCACCTGCCTTGTCCAGGTGTTGGATATGTTTTTTTCATGGCTCGTTTCATGCTTAATTTTATTTTAAAATGAATTCCCAAGCTGAGCAAGGTGGCAAACATCTGAAGTCCCTGTGCTTGGGAAGCACAGACATGAGAATTTATGTAAGTTCAAGACCAGCCTGATCTACTTAGTGAGCTATAGGCTCTTCAGGTCTATACAGCAAGACCCTGTCTCAAACAACCAAAGAAAATCTGCCTGCCTCAGTGATGGACAACTGGGGTGGGGTGGGGGAGTGGGTAGGGCTTTCTCTTAAAGGGACAGGACAGACCATTATACCTACACCTTCAGACAGACAAACATGCAGGCAAAACACCCATGCCCATAAAATAAAAATTAAGAGGAAGCAGTCTGTAAGGTTGGGTGAGGTCCACCCCTAGACTCGGGGCCTTGGAAACAGCCCACCATGCTAGTAGCACAAAGCATTACGCTAACAAAGCATTGGGCTGTGAACCTTCACAAGAGGGGTCCAACCTGTATGTGTGTGTGACACAGGGAGCATGCCCTGACTTCATGGATTTGCTTGGACCAGCCTGCCTGCTGGATGCCTTCCCACAAGCTGATTCTTAGATGGGGCATGCCAGGCTCCCCTACTCCCAAGGCTCAACTCCTCTCCTTCTCTTGTCTCTTAGGCTACTGAGACCTTGAAGTAGAAATGCCTCTACCCACCCAGACCCAAATTACTCTGAAGCCATACCCACATCGGTTAGTCTAGGCTAGACCCATCACTGTTGTCCACAGCACAGCGTTTAACAGTAAACAAACGCTTCTCTCATTTATTTTTCCCTAGGACGGGTGTGAATAAAGAGCAGGGTAAATTTCCCAGTGCCCCCTCGCAGAAGTGCTGGTGCAAGCCAGCAGTAGGAAACCAGGGGTCTCTAGCGCTAGCCGAAACTTTTTCTCTCTGAGCCTTAGTTTCCCAACTGTAGACCAAATATGTTGGCTGGTCCTCGTGCCCTCATTTTCCGGCTTTCCTTTGCTTCCCGGGCTGCTGTTATGCACAGTTAAGAAGGGCTTGGATTCTTGGCTCTGGCTCTCCTGCACCGCCTTTCCTTTTGCATCATGCACTGCCAGCTTCCTGGCATCCCTTAAGATTGGTTGCTTAAGTTACCTGTAGGTGCAGTACAGTTGCCAAAGAGATGTATTCCAGGTGAGTGCTAGTGGGTGTACACCTAATCCTGCACCTTCCCGGCCTGGCTGCAGGTGGTGGAGACAAGGGTTGTCAGTGCGTGCTGAGGAAGAGGATCATCCTGAGACTGAAGCCTGGCGGATGCACCATTGAGCAAGCTGCATTTTCAGTCCTGCTGGTGGAGGGTCGGATCTCTAGCAGCAAAGGATCTGGAGGCCGGGGGTCACTTGTGTATGTTTTAGACGGTATCTTTGCTTGTTGGTTCTTTTTATTATCTCTCCCTTTCTAATCCACCTCAGAACATCTTTCTGACTCTCAGGGTCAGCCTCTCTCTCGGTCTAGAGGCGCTTTCAAAGGACTTCCCGCTCTGTGTGCGCCGATTGGGGGTTGGGGCACGACGTACGAACTGATTGTATTGCCCAATGAAGCCAGCAGGAGTCGCAATCGAACAGGCTCTGAGGGGGCGTGGAGGAGGCGTAAGTGGAGGGGCGTGGTCCCGAAGCCAGCCGGCCAATAAAAGCGGCGGGCGCGTGGCCTAGGTTCGCTTCCTGGGTCGTGTGACCTTGGTTGTGGTTGCCTTCTTCGTAGCGCGTTGTCCCGACCCACGACCGCGATGCTGACGCTGCGCTGTGGCCCCCGCCTGATCGGCCTGCTCTCTGGCCAGCGCTCCGCAACGCTGCTCCTCTCCGCGACCCGTGCCTACAGCGACAGCGGAGCACGCGACCCGAACTCCTCCTCCCGGAACCCTCTCGTGTACTTGGACGTGGGCGCCGATGGGCAGCCTCTCGGCCGCGTGGTGCTGGAGGTGAGGACCCTGGACCCGATCGGCCCGGCTTGGGCGTAGGGCAAACTTTACTTCTTGGCCACCGTTCTGTGCCTAGCAAGCGGGGTGACCTTGGGCCTCTCACTTCCAAACCCTGGACCTCAGTTTCCCCGTCTCAGAGAGGCGACTTCAGTTAGGTTTGTTCCAGGGTGCTTCCACACACGGAGGAGGACGGAGGCGAGAGGGGGTGTGTGTGGAAGAAAAGGTCAAGGTCAGAGCGCGCTGAGTATCAGACTCCCGGCGCGCCAGGGCCGAGGTTGGGCTTCTGAGACCCTCTGCGTCCGAGGTTGGACCCAGAGCTCTGAGGTGGGTGTCTCAGGTCCAGGTGTTGCCGGGTGCTCACGTAGTGGCCTGAGTTTAACACCCCACGCACTCCCGATCCGCCCCCAACTCCCGGCTACTTAGGAGTAGGCCTGGGGAATGCTAGTGGGAAGGTGGTTCGACCGGGAGCCCAATCCAACACACTCTCTGAAGTCCTTACTCAGCAATAGCTCCTGTTCCACCCTTACTTAAAAAGAAAAGTAGGAAATAGTCACTAAGGTGGGTCTGAGGCCCTAGCTGCCTTCAGGCTGTTCCACTTTAAACAAAGGGACCAGTTAGTGTTGACTGACCTATTTATTGGGATGGGGAGGGGGATGGTATTTATTGTTTAGCCTCAGTTTCCCCATCCCTAACTCCTTTTGTTGAAGAAGGATTTTCGATGTTATTTTGTAATGTTTTTTCGAGACATGATTTCTCTGTGTAGCTCTAGCTGTCCTGGAAACTCACACTGTAAACCAGGCTGGCCTTGAGCTCCGAGATGCCACCTGCCTCTGCCTCCAGATGGCTGGGAATAAAGACATGCACCAGCACCAAGGGATTCTTAAGAGAAGCTGAGAGGCAAGAGGCAAGCATGGATGAGGCTACGGTCTTCCCTTAACTGTCCCCTCCTTCCCTTTTGTGTGCCTCAGTTTCTCTCTGCACTGAGGAGTGGCAGCTGGTTCTAACTATGATACTCTTGGTCCAGGGACTCATGCTGAGGGCCACCAGCTGCCTCTTCTGACCCAGAAAGTGGCCCTGGATGACACTGGTCTGATAGATAAGAAACCGAGGCTGCCTCCAGCAAACCATGGGTTCAGGAAGCAGCTGCCAGAAACGATAGCTGCTTTGGCTGTTCTAGAAGGGTTGGAGGTCATAGGAAAAGAATGGTCTTGTGGTTCTTTCTCATGGTGCCTTGACAGCTGGGTGTAAATGGCGAGGGGGTTCTTTCCTACACCTGCTTCTGGACTAACCATTCTTTTTTTGTTCCTTTTCCTTCCCGTAGCTAAAGGCAGATGTTGTGCCAAAGACAGCAGGTAAGGCAGAGGTGGAAAGTGGGCCAGGCAAGGCCGATGGGCTTAGAGGAGGGGTTAAAGCTCAGCCTATGATAAAATGGGAGTTTCAACCTAAGCCCAGCCGCTGGGTTCCCTGAGGCAGCCTTTTGTCTCTCTCTGAACCTTGCTGTCAGCTCTGCTAACCAGTTCAAGGGTAGCTAGATATCACAGAACCAGGGGACAGCCTGTGAAAGCTCCCAGACATAGCTTCCAACCAGTTCCAGCATGATGGCGCAGGTCAGGGTTAGGTACATAGTCTGTGGGCTGCTTGCCCTGGTACCCTGGCCGGCCCAGCTTAGAGCTTGTTTCCTAGTCACAGTGTTTGCTACTGGGTCAAGGTAGGGAAGGCTGTGATCAGGAATGAACTCACAAGCAAGGAGAGGCAGGGTCCTTCCACACACACAGCTCACGGGCGGGCGGGGGGGGGGGGGATTGGCAGGGAGGAGTAGCCTGCCCTTAACCTACCTTTCCTCCCTCTTTCTTCAGAGAACTTCAGAGCCCTGTGCACTGGTGAGAAGGGCTTCGGCTACAAAGGCTCCACCTTCCACAGGGTGATTCCATCCTTCATGTGCCAGGTAACAGTAACATGGCCTCCGCTGTGAATGGAGCTGGCAGTGGTGATGCCCAGGATCACTAATAAGCAAGCAAGGGCCTGGTGCCTGGAAGGGACACAGCAGAAGGCTGCCGATGGGGGTGGATCTTAAAGCTTTGAAGGGGCACCGGAGTAGAACAGTCTCTAACCGTAGCATTCTGTGTGCCCTTGAGCACTGGGCATGGGAGAAGGGAGGGAATGGGAGGAAGGCTGCTAAATTGGGATTACACACGCCTGGACTTGGAGTTGCCTTCCTAGTGAAGGGTTTTTCCCAGTTAAATGAATGCATCTGTTAGTCACATGTTCTTCCTGTTTTGCATACATGTAAGCATTGCTGTGTCAGGCTTGGGATAGGTGTTTGCAACAAAAACTTCTTGGGCAAACTCAAGGTCAGGGGTTAATGAGACCAGGAGAGCTAGAGATGGGCATAGATGTCATGGCCTCTCTGAAGTTCCTTCTGTCTATTCTTCCCACTGTAACCAAGTAACAGGGGGTTGGGACTGTACCTGCTGACACTGTTTACACATTGCGTATGAAGGTGAGGTTGACAGGGCTCCTAGCTGAACCCAGCCAAGCTGTGTGACCTTTCTGCTCCAGAGGCTCCCAGCTCCCCCTGGGGTTGGTAGATGAGGTAGGCACTAAGGCGGTAGCTGGAGTTCAGGAAGGGGCTTGAAGTTTGGAAGAGCTCTTTATGGCTTAGAGTAGTGGCCTCTGGAGGCACAGGCAAGATGACTGGGGACGGCTTATTGGTATCTGTGGATGCTTTAGCTGGACAGAGCAGCTCACACCTCTCACTGAAGGGTCCTGTCTCAGAGAAACCACAGTGCGGCCATGACTACCAACTGGGCACAGAACTGCTACTGTACTCTTTCTGTTCAGGCTTTCTGAGGAAGATTCCCAGCTCCCCTGTGTCATGTGTCTGCAAAACCTTTGGGCTTGACCTTGGGGAGAGTGATGCTGGGGCAAAAGAGGGGACAGCCTAGGGAACTGGTCTTCCCCTCCAGCCCAGCTCTGAGACCAGGACCCCTGGTCACCTGCTTGTGACTCTCTGAGGAATTGTGGGTTGACAATCAGAACCTCAGGCATGTGGTTACTGAAAAACTAGCTCAGACAAGAAAGCAGACTTGTTTTGGTGTGGCTCCAGAGGCTTGGTTTTAGCTTTGCCTGTTTTATCTCAGGCACTGGATGGTTGTTGGCCCCTTTGCCTGAGGTGGGCCTTGGGTGGGTTGGGCTGCCTTTTCAGGGGACCCACACTGCCAGTTGTGTGGTAACCAGTTAACAAGGTATTCTCTGTGCAGGCTGGTGACTTTACCAACCACAATGGCACGGGAGGGAAGTCCATCTACGGAAGCCGCTTTCCTGACGAGAACTTCACACTGAAGCATGTGGGGCCAGGTATGTGGGACTGTGAGCCCCTCTCTAGTGCTCTGTGCTGTTCCGTGCCGCCTGGATGCTGCCACACCTGGCCACCCAGGGAAGGTGTGGTCCACAGCTGCCTGATATCCTGTCATGCTCCTTCTGTTAGCATCCAAGCAGTTCAGCCTTTCCAGCTCATTGGGTTTCCCCTAGGACTTTCTCACTTTTAACTCTGTAAAAGCCAGCCTTGCTGCCGTAATTCCAGTACTTGGGAGGCTGAAACTGGAGACCCTAAAGGTTGAGGTCATCTTGGGCTACATTTTGAGACATGTTTCAACAAACAAAAACCAAATTTCCCAATGGAAACTTGGTTGGGGAGTCTTTAAGCAGAAGTGGGAGTGTGGGAAAGTGTAGAGGCCATATCTTGGGATCTACTGAACACTCGCACTGAGATCCCTGCGGCCCTTCCACCCCAGCGCCCCCCTCCATAGAAGACTAGTTGGCAGCCAAGGCACACAGCTCCCGGGTCTGGATGTTAGCACTGCTTCCCTCTGGTTCCTGTGTCTGCAAGTTCACACCTCCTTGATGAATGTGAACCATCTGTTCTGAGCAGTGGCTCAGAGGCGGTTCCTCATCTGACACAGCCCTCTCCGCTTGTCCCACAGGTGTCCTGTCCATGGCGAATGCAGGCCCCAACACCAATGGCTCTCAGTTCTTTATCTGCACAATAAAGACAGACTGGTGAGTAGTTCACACTGTAGGGCCTCGGAGAATGAAGCCCGAGGAGGTCTGTGCACAGTCGGAAGGGCAGTGCGCAGCTGGATCATCTGCTCTGGTCCAGCGACTTGCTCCTCACTGTACATCTGTCTGAGAGACAGGGAAAATATTAAGGGACGGTTTGGGCTGTTCTCTGACTATGTCGCACCTATGCTTCCCAGTGGTGCTGTTGACTAGAATTTGATTTGTGTTGTACCTGCACCCCCCCTACACATACACAAAAGGGTTCCTCTACCCCCCCCCCCACACACAAGAGGGTTCCTCTACCCCCCCACACACAAAAGAGTTCCTCTACCCCACATTTGGGAAGGTGCATCATTATCACTGTCTGAGTAGAAGCCATTTTGCCTGGCTTAACCTGATGCTTTCTTGGCTTGCTTCTACCACAGAACATGCTTGTAGAATCCTAGCTATTGAGGCAAGTTTCCTTCAAACACCGTTAGCACGGCTGCACACAGCTCCCCACCTTTCAGCCCCTGCTGTGTAGAAATGCCTTTTTCCTGGTAGAACCTCCACTAAACAACAGTCCTCAGTGTTCCAGCCCTCAGGTCCCCGGACTTGAGAGGCAGCAGCTGAGAACTTTAGAAAGCCCACTTGCAAGATTGAAAGAAACCTAAGTGACAGGATGGCATTTGCTAGCCTCTGTCGTCCAAGCCATGCAGGGCTGCCAGGACTGGGCATGTTGTTGCTGGCTCCACACTCTTTGCTCCTGTCATGGAAGCCTTAATGGGCTTTGCAGTTCTGCCCCTAAGTCCCTTTTGTGCTCCTGGAACTCAAAATCAGGAGCTGCTCAGCACCAGGCTTCTCCCACTTGACCCGACTCTCAGTTTGCCTGCTGAAGTAGTCTGTTGGGACAATGTCTTACCTGACTGTTTGAGCAGCTCTGTGCCCGTCATTTTCCTGGGCAAAATAAGTAAAGCTCACTTCTCATAGGTAAGGTCGCCAAGATTCAGATCAAGGTACCAGGTCAAAGCCCAGGGTGACAGAACCTGCCCAGCGTCCTCTGGAGTGCAGCTGGGAAGCTCACAGAGCTCAATTAAGCTTTGGGGTGTGTGTGTGTTCCTTTGAGAATTAGTACCTTTGGCAAATAATTCTGTACAGGGTAGCCAGGGTGCTGGGTGTGTTCTCACTTAGTTCAACCCTCCTCACAGGTTGGATGGCAAGCATGTTGTGTTCGGCCATGTCAAAGAGGGCATGGATGTCGTGAAGAAAATAGAATCTTACGGCTCAAAAAGCGGGAAGACGTCTAAGAAGATCGTTATCACAGACTGTGGCCAGTTGAGCTAACTCACAGCCAAGGTGCAAGGACAGTAGCAGCCGGCCGTGGGTTGATTCACCCAGGTGCTCCAAGCACAGGTGTCCCCTACTGAGTATGAAGAAGCTACTCAGGCACACAGTCCTTCACAGGACCAGGCTGCTCTTAACTGACCATCCTTCCTCAGATCCTGTTTCTGGGCATCAGTGTGGCCATCGGGCCATGCAAGCGTTCCCTTGATTGCCATTCATGTGTGCCTTGGACATTGACCTGCTGACCAGTTAGCATCCAGGGAAGGGTCCTAACTTTTTCCTTGCCCAGTGGGGACAGCAGTTACTTTTAATGTTGTCTTCCTCATAGAAGCGAAACTGTGACACTAACTGCACTGTACAAGCCACAACCCCCTGAGCCTGGCTTCTGATACATAACTCAGAGCTCTTGTGAAAGTTTCGAGATCAATGCCTTTCCTCCCAGTTACTGTGAATCCTGCTGGTTGGCTGCTGGGACTTTTGAAGGGAGCCCGTGGGACAGAAGCAGCTGGACCTGGGGGCAGACCTGTGAGCTGGGGCTGTCTGCTCAATGTGAATTCCTGTGTTGAAACCTGCCCATGTGCATACTGTCCTGAGGAGGAACGTGTGTCCTGGCAGGCTTTGCTTTTCCTATATGTTAAAGAAAGCCAATTTGTCAATGATAATATATGTAAAAGATTTCTGGAACGGTCCTTGTGTTCACCTCAAATGTGATAATAAATCCTGTTTTCTAAAAAAACGTCTCTGGAAAGAAATCTGAAAGTTAAGTGTTTGGGTCTTATTTGCTTTGAGACAAGGTCTTGCTGTGTGGGCTAGACTGGCCTAGAACTTGCTGTCTAGCCTTGGCTAGCTTCAAACTTCTCTTGATCCTCCTATATGCTGCTGGGATTAAAGGCATGTACCCTTGTATCCAGCCAGAACCAACTCAAGTTAGCATGTGTAAGGTTCTGTGCTTTGAACTGTTTTTCATTTGCTTTGTTTTATGGTGCTAGGGCCTTTGTACATCAAGGCCTACCCTCAGCCCTGTGCTGAGGAATTCTGTGGAGAACATCCCAGTTAGTATCTCAGAGACCTGTGAGTACATCCTTGTTGCCATCTGTGCTGTGGAGATGGTCCAGCAGATCACAGTCCCCACAGCCCCCACCACGAGCACTACCTCCAAGCGGAGTACCAGCTCTGCTCAGTGACCAAGCTTCAGCTTCCCTCAGCTGCATAAAGTGTGTGCGACACCTAGATCTCACGGGTGTGATCCATGTCAGGTGCATAGCCTTGGGCCTGATGTCGTCATAGCAAGCTCTGGGTAATGACAAGAGGATGACATTTCCCATGTATCAGAGCCTTAGGAAAGGGGTCTTGCTAAGCAAGGAGCTGAGGTCACTGAATGTTAGGGGTGTGTTTCCCTGTTCATGCTGGGCTGAAACTTGGAATTCTTCCTATTGCTGTATTCTCAAGGAAGGCAGGATTGGGGTGAGCAGATGACTAAGAGTTCCCTTAGGTGGGCAGGGACACTCCTAGAGGAGGGATTTGGGTTCTGGCTGGGGTGAGTAATGCATTCATTCAGTATACTATTCCTGAGTCAGGTGTTGTGAGGTTATGAGTGGCCTGGTCACTATGTCATGGTGGCCAGACTGAGTCTTTCAGCGTCAAGGAATTTCCATGAAGTCAGAGCTCAGCTCCACAGGTTGGGAGCTTGATTGGACTAGTAGTTTCAAAGTGGTTCTGAGAGCATCCTCAGAATGCCCAGGTGCGATGGCATGGATCCTGAGGCCTATGTCTACAAGTTACTCTCCAGTTCTTTCTTCAGTGGGACTGCCGAGGGAGTTCACTTGAGAAGCCGATCTCAGCTGAGTGACTGATAATCGCACTTGCAGGGCGACAGCTTGCAGGTGAGTGAACAGGACACGGGCTGGATTGTGATCATTTGGAGAAGGCAGTCAAGGCAGCTGGCAAAGGGCAGAACCCTGAGTTGTGTGCGCAGAAGGCACACACAAAGAGATTCTTAGAGAGTCACATAGGTACTTCACCACTGAGCCCTGGCCCCCAGCACCTCAACCTTTTTATTTTCCATATTGGCTTTGAAGTTGCTTTGTAGCCCTGGCCAACTTTGAACTTGTAATTCTTCTGCCTCAGCCTCTTGAGTAGCTGGGATTAAAGGCCTGCACCCATCCCCCACCTGCTTTAAGCAATTTATTTTAAAAATAAAGTGTTTTGAAAGCATTTATTTATTTATAAATCTATATATTTATTCATTTTACAATTTATGTATTTATCTTTTTCTGGTGCTACTTGGTGAAGTCCAGGCCTTACCGATGCTGGGTAGATGACCTTCCAGAGCACAGGTCAGAGGTGTGCTGCTGATGCCTCTGCAGTTGCCTGCTGACCTTGGGTGCTCCAGGTACCAGTGACGAGTTAAAATGAAAGCCAGCCTCCTTGGGCCACGACCTACCTGCTGTCAGTGTCTGAGGGGGGTCTTAGAGTTAGAAGGTGGAAGGACTTCCGGTTCCTTCTCACTGAGGATATGTGTGCTGTGTCTCCATCCAGCGGAATCTAGGGGTACAGCAGGCATGCAAGAATTTTCTAGAAACCACTCCCCAAAGGCAAAGACAAGGCCATCAACCTCTGCTGTTCTTTCAACACTGCAGAGGCCTAACAAGGTTTTGGGTTTTTTTGTTTGTGTGTTTGTTTGTTTTTTTGTGCAGCACCATTTTAAGTAACACCAAAAACCCCGGCTTGCTGCTGGCCATAGCCCTCAGTACCTGATGCATACACCAGTATCTCTGAGTACCTAATGTATACACCAGTATCTCTGAGTACCCAATGCATACACCAGTATCTCTGAGTACCCAATGCATACACTAGTATCTCTGAGTACCCAATGCATACACCAGTATCTCTGAGTACCCAATGCATACACCACCAGTATCTCTGAGTACCCAATGCATACATCAGTGTCCCTTAGTACCCTCAGAGTCCCATCAGTAGCCTTCAGTACTTAATGCATACATTAAGTAGCCCTCAGTGTCTAAAGCACACATCAGTAGTCCTCAATACCCAATTCATACATAAGTGGTGAACCTACATGTGATTCCTAGATGCCATCATATAGACACCTTATGTTTTCAAAAACCCCAAACATCAGTTTTCTGAGATACACAATAGCTTTTCAGAAAGACTTCACTGAGGTAAAATTTGCATACAGTAAAATTCACTCATTTTAATTGTACCATCAATGATTTTTGAAAATCACATCTGATTAATGGCCATCAGTTAAGACAAAACCTCACTGTCTTTACCGCATCTTCCCTACATCTCTTTCTAGGCAACCACTGAGTTCCATCACCATACAGTGAACTTTGCCTGTCCTACGGCTTTGTGTGAAAATGGTGTGAAACAGGAGTCACTGTTTTGTTCCTGGCATCACTAGCACAGTGCACGGGAGACTCTAACATAGTGGTTCTCAACCTGTGTGTTGCAACCCCTTTGGGGTCGATGGACACTTCCTCAGGGGTCATACATCAAATATTTACATTATGATTCATAACAGTGGCAAGGTTAGAGTTACGAAGTACAAAGAAAACACTTTTGTGGTTGGGGGTCACCCCATGAGGAACTGTATTAAAGGGTCACAGCGTTAGGAAGGCTGAGAACCACTGTATTAAAGGGTCGCAGCGTTAGGGAGCTTGAGAACCACTGTATTAAAGGGTCGAAGAGTTAGGAAGGTTGAGAACCACTGTATTAAAGGGTCGCAGAGTTAGGAAGGTTGAGAACCACTGTATTAAAGGGTCGCAGAGTTAGGAAGGCTGAGAACCACTGTATTAAAGGGTCGCAGCATTGGGAAGGTGGAGAACCACTGTATTAAAGGGTCACAGCGTTAGGAAGGCTGAGAACCACTGTATTAAAGGGTCGAAGAGTTAGGAAGGCTGAGAACCACTGTATTAAAGGGTCGCAGAGTTAGGAAGGTTGAGAACCACTGTATTAAAGGGTCGCAGAGTTAGGAAGGTTGAGAACCACTGTATTAAAGGGTCACAGCGTTAGGAAGGCTGAGAACCACTGTATTAAAGGGTCACAGCGTTAGGAAGGCTGAGAACCACTGTATTAAAGGGTCGAAGAGTTAGGAAGGCTGAGAACCACTGTATTAAAGGGTCGCAGAGTTAGGAAGGTTGAGAACCACTGTATTAAAGGGTCGCAGCGTTAGGAAGGCTGAGAACCACTGTATTAAAGGGTCGCAGAGTTAGGAAGGTTGAGAACCACTGTATTAAAGGGTCGCAGCGTTAGGAAGGCTGAGAACCCACTACTCTAACATTTCTCTGGGTTCTGCAGGGCTTTGCTTCATGAAAAGCAGTTTCTGTAAATATTTCCTAGGTGTAATAAGGCACGCTACTCACAAACCCCATTTAAGTGCAGGACCTCTCAAAAGAATCAGAGCTATTTGTGCTGCCAGCATGAACCAGGAAGCCAGCTTTAAAGAAACCATGCAGTTTTTTGCTGCTAATGCTGAGTCAGGAAGCCTTCTTTTTGATTCTGCTCACCGCCAGTAAACTGAACCTGTCTGAAAACAAAATGCAGCTACCAAGAAGCTGCAATTGACTCCTGTTTTTGTGGTCTAGAAACCCTTTTTTAATTTAAGTTTTCTTAGGCTTAATGTGGAAATTCTTGCTCCACATTGGACACCATTTTGTAAATAGAGACCATTCATTCATTTCCTGGATGCCCAGACACAAATAATCACACAGAATCTATATTAATTGCAACACTGTTTGTCCAGTGACTCAGGTGTATCTCTAGATAGCTCTTATTTCTTAATTAACCCATTTCTATTAATCTGTGTATCATCACGAGTCTGTGGCCTATTGGTAAGGGTCCGGTGGCATCTTTGTCCTTCGGCAGCTACAAGGCATCTCTCTGATTTTGCCTTGGGGGTCTCAGGAAAGGACTCTGGTATAAGCTGGGGAACTCCATCTGTGAAGCCACAGGGAAGTCATCAACCTATATTATATACAGACCTTCCACTGTGGCCAGTGGGTCATCCATACTCCTGACCATACTTTTTCTCCCATGCTCTGTAAGCAATCTTAATACTCATTGTTTCCCCCCAGTTGGATCTTTGGTGGAATCAAATTCTGGTTTGTCATTAGGATTATAAGTGAGGGAGGCATTGCTTAGTTATTCCCAAGGCAAAAGTTAACAGCACATGGGTATGTAAGTATCTTTGGAGACCACAAGAGGGGGTGTCAGATCCTCAGAAGTTAGAGTTGCATGTGGTCGTGAGCCATCAGACATGGGTGTTGGAAACTGAACTCAGGTCATCTGCAAGACCAGCAAGCATTCTTAACTGCTGAGGCATCTCTCCAGTCCTTGCTATGAGCTTTCTTTATACAATGTTGAAAACATTCAAGAATTGGCTCTGGGCATGGTCACATATGGCTGTGACCGTATTAAAAACCATTCAATGTGTGAACTGAACGGAATGTGAATTGTTTCTTACTCAGTCCTCTTAGAAAGATGTCTTAGCAGTGTCTTCTCATCCTCTTGATATGCAAGATGCTTCCTCTGGGATCCTTCTGTCCTTCTGAAAGATGCTAACGTTTGACCTACATATGAGTTCTGTGGAGGGTCTTCAGTGTCATCTTTCAAAGTGTATTTCATGGTATTTTTAAAAATGATTTATGTGATGGCGCATCAGGGCTATGTGTATGAAGGCACCTGTAGAAGCCAGAAGAAAGTGTCGGGTCCCCTGGAACAAGAGTAATAAAAT